GATACTTGTCTATGTACCCATATAGTAGATACTTCGACCCTAAAGTATCTGTATAGGGACTACATTAAGGCCAAAATAAGTATTGTTTGGGTACATGGACCCTTCAGGTTAGGCTTATTCTGTGGTTGAGAGTGTCCACCTGGGACCGTAGGAGGAGGGTGGTGTCATTTCGACACGGCCTGAGGGCACACGTCGGAAAGCCGAAAAGTACCGGATTGTGAGTTCCACATTTAGGGACCTGTACGCTCCCACTACCTCGGCGCCCCTGCAAATGCGGAATCGCAGTGTTTACGATTTGTAGGATCTTGCGGCTAAAGGGCTCAAACGGCCGTGAGGCGATTATACACTCAATTGCACCACGCAGTGACGAAGAAGCACAGTTTTCAACTGCCAATGTGTTATCTGAAGCTCAAGGACTCCTATAGAATGTCGGAAGGGCATGAAATTTGAAGGTTCAGGTTTCCTTTGGGCATGAAATTTTAAGGTTCAGGTTTCCTTTAAGGGCTCGACGGGTTACCATAAGGGTTCTACAAGGGTTCCTGAAAGGGCTCCTCTAAGGATCTCTTTAAGCTTCTTTTAAGGGTTCCTGTGCAAGCTCCTATCAAGCCCGATGCCCGAATCATACATTTAAGGATTATCCACTTGTGATATCCCCCAGAATTTTACAAGACGAGACACTAAACCCTGCACGCGGAAACCTATGTGCTTGCATCAGACATTCTCGCACTTCAAAACCCAGAAGATACTGCTTTGGACTTAGCCGAGGACCTTAACTGTGTCTAGGGGCTCGAAGTGCCATGATGGACATTTGTCACCTATAGTCTCCGTTGTAGTTCTTTTTTTGGTTAACCGTTTTATGGTTAGGACCTTATAATAGAGACTTTGGACAACCAAAAAAAGGAACTACAATGGAGACCCTAGGCAAGCTTCAAATTGCGTCTCCCGGAACGCAATATTTCCTTAGCTGCGGGGTCGTGGTGCCTCTAGGCAAGCTGAGCCGTACGTGCGATTCCCTGAAGTGTGCGGAGTGTTGAAATGTAAAATTACCCCAAGTAATGCTCAAAATAGCCCAACAGCCTTCCACGGTATGTTCCTTGGGCCCAAAAGCCTTCTTATAATATGAGCCTTAGAGCCTTAACTCGTAAGTAAACCCTGTAAATCCTGTAAACCCAACGACTTATAGTATGAGTCTTTGCAACTGTAGGGTTAGGTCAACCCACGGCTTTGTGGGCGCTGTGCCTTCGAAAGGCCAGCACAACTCCCGTGGCAGCGAAGAATGCCGGGAAGCTTGGTTTCCGGTTTGGGGTTGAGGGCTTGGGGGTTTAGGGTTTGCAGGGTTTCGGCGTTTAGGGTTTTAAGGGGTTACGGTTTGGGGGTTTAGGGTTGATAGTGTTCCCATTTGAGCCGTGATACCTGGCCACGACCGACTACTGTGTAATTTGGGGTTGGTGCGACAGCTTGGGCTGGATACAGCTTGGCCTAGGGTTGTGAGCTTAGGGTCCGCGATTATGAACTTCCCCCAGCACTCCAGACACAAATCCGCCCCAAAGTCTAAATCCTGGAAGTGCAAACGCCGGCGCTCTCAACAGCTCAATGCAGCTACAACGGCACTCGTTTCAATCCTGAACCTACTCTTTGCAGTCTCTTTGCATACGTTGGTGTTCTGGTACTTGGGAGCTCAAGGCAGTGATTAGGTCCAGTATTCCAGAGTGGGGGCTCCGGCCTACGGTAAGCAAGCAGAAATGCGAGAGTATGCTTTACCATGTACCATGATCAAAGTTTGCTTTCCTGAGGACTCAACATAGCCCAAAGTAGGTACTCTATGTATATATATATATATATATATATATGTATATATGCAAATATAGACGTTGGATTTCTTGACCCCGACTCGGTATGATCTGCATGTTTGGAGTCTTAGGGTAGAAGCCCAAAAGCTGGAAACCAATCGCCTCAATCCTTGAGAGTAATGTATAGGGAATCCCAACCTTAACCCCTAGCCCCTAAACCCTGAAGGCCCTAAACCCCTAAACCCTAAACCCCTAAACCCGAAACCCCTAAACCCCTAAACCCCTAAACCCGAAACCCCTAAACCCCTAAACGCTACGCCCGGACGTTACGCCGCAGCTCAAGAATAAGCATGTAACCGTAACACACGAATCTATTGATATTTGCAGTACGAACATGCCTTGGTCGTGGCTGAGGAGGCAGCTTTTCCAGGATGTTTTTTTTTTTTTACAAAAAAATAAATCCTCGAGGAAAGCCTTGGAAAAAGAGTTTTGGGGCCACTACGGCTGTGAATATTTGGGGTTTGGGGTCGGAGGTGAAGAAGGGTTCAGCCGGTTCCGGGTTCAGGGTTGGGTGCGAGCATCGCAGAACAACCTTGCCAAACGACCAGCCAGATGCGTGGGCCACTGGTCTCTTGGGGTGTGGCAGCGTGGACAGCGGCCCGACTTGGTCATTTTATCAGAAACTGCGGAAGCGAGGGCGTGGAAGTTGTAGCCGCCGCCTTGCCGCGGAGCCGGCGCCGGCACCTCCGTGTCCCAGGCGGAGTCCAAACAAAGCACTTCTTCCTGCAGTTCTTCGCGTGCGAAATCCGGCATGGGACTAGGTGCCAGCTCGGTGTTCCAGGCGGAGTTCAGACAAAGCACTTCTTCCTGCATTTCTTCGCGTACGAAATCCGGCATGGGACAAGCGGAAGCAGAGAACCACGCACTTTGCAAGCAAACAAGTTCTTCATCCAGCTGTTGTCGAGTTTCCACAAGCATCCCGGGGGAAGCAGAAGCAGAGCACGTGGAAGAAGAAGCTACCGTCCAAGGGGAGCGTTACAAAGGCCCTGCGGGGAAAGCACAAACAGAGCATTTGGAAGCTGCATGGAATCGGCGATCATGCAGGAGCCGAAAATGCTGAGAGCGCGCGCGAATTCCAGTGTAGACAGGCCGAATCTGCTGGAAAACGCAGGACATCAAGCAACTGTGCAAGTGCGGCAAGACGCTTGGGCGGAAGGCTAAACCCCAAAACCCGAAACCCCTAAACCCGAAACCCCTATACCCCTAAACCCCTGAACCCTAAACCTCCTAAACACTAAACCCTAAACCCTTAAACCCTAAACCTTAAACCATGCATCAGCCCAGTATCGTCCCCTGAGGTCGGAACAGCGATCTGCATCTGCCTCGGCATGGGGCACCGGGTTGGAGTTCGGGATTCAGGTGATTGGTAATCAGGGTTTAGGATTAGGTGGATTAGGGTGCAGGGTTTAGGATTAGGCGGATTATTTTACAGGGTTTAGGATTTTTTCTGGATTAGGATTCAGGGTGTAGGATTAGGTGGTTTAGGATTCAGGGTAGCGTTTCAATAGGAGGTGCTTGATCAAGGGAAGGGCAAGGACAAACATGGCGGAAAGATGCCCAGATTCATGGCCCGACAATTTACGAAGAGGCATCGTCGCTGAGGTGAGCGAAGTTTCACATGGCGGACAGATGCCCAGATTCATGGCCCGACATTTTACGAAGAGGGTGGCATCCGGTGGAACCTCCAACCGCCACGGCTGACAAGGCTAGGAAAGCGCTTGCGCCGTCTGCAGGATCATGCAGCTCTCTTGGGTGTGTGCAGGAACAAAGCTGCGGGCACAAAAGGCCGAACCAGTTTGTCGTCACGCCAGTGCAGCTTTTCAACGACGAGGATGTTTTGCCGGTTGAGGGTTTAGGAATCTTGTAAGGAGTGGGACTGGCAAATCAAGCCCACCATGACAAATGCTTGCCGAGCATCGCTTTTTTTGTGCTAAACTAGGTGGCAATTTGGGAAACTTTTTAATTTCCCTTAAGGTTCCTATAGAGGTACCTATTCATAAATACTTCTCAGAGCCCCAAAACTACAACCCAGTAAATCATGGGCATGGGTCGCCGGACTCGCACAGTGTGTTTCCCCCCGCATTTAGGGTGTACCTATAGTCTCCATTGTAGTTCCTTTTTTTGGTTAACCAGTTTTGTGGTTAGGGCCCTATAATAGAGATTTTTGTTAACCAGAAAAAGGAACCACATTGGAGACTATAGGTATAGTGTTTGGGATTAGGGCCTCGGCATGCCTTGGCATGGAGCACCAAAGCCTGAAGCTAGGATGCCCAGTAGTACCCTTAGGGATCTATAAGGGTTCCTTAAAGGGATCTATAAGGGTTCTATAAAGGGTTTAGGGTTTCCGAAAATTAGGGGCTAGGATGCCCAGTAGTACCCTTATTCCCTTTTTGTAGTCCTAGGTTCCTTATAAAGTTACCCAATACCAACAAGAGAGGCCTTTTTATTCTTAGGTTACTGGGTATCCTAGGAAGAGTTTAGGGATCGATGGTCCGGTTTCGGATTTAGGGCTAAATGCTTTAAGGCCGAAGACCTTAAGTATGGTGCGGCTTAGGATTTAGTGTTAAATGCGTTAAGGCCGAAGGACCTTCGTATTCTGGGCGCTTGAATAAGAGAAGGGTTTGAGTGTACATTACTGTATAAGGAACCCGACGGAATGATATTATTTTATTTCAGAAGGTGCAAAGCTCTCCGAGAGCGTACCTCAAGCAATGAATTCAGGTGAAAACAAACTCAAAAGGGGAGGGTTCAGGCGATAGCCGAATGGACTCCTCAATCCAGCTAGCGAACTCCCCCCCAGAAACACGAGAAAAGAGACACTGCACTCTACAAGGCATGCCCTGACGACTGAGCCCAATCACAAGGGAAATCCAGAAGAGTGCGCAGTGAAGCCACTCCCGGAAGAGGGCCATGTCTCGCAGCGAACAGGAGCGAGGCTCCCAGAATGAATGGCAAGGGACAGGCGGCTTCGGAATCAGCACTGAAACCTGGCTAAACCGTCTATCAACCGAAACCCTAGAGGAGAAAGGCAAGAAGCACAGACTACCCTCATAGGGGCCGGCATGGGCCTCGGTCGAAGCAATAACGAGACGAGGAAGCCCTGCACATTCGGGGTTCACAGAGGGAAAAGGGACTAAAAGAGGCTCGAACTTAGAAGAAGTGACCTCCTTTGCCCTTGGCGCCTTGGAGACTGCCGTGCACCACAGATCGGCCTGCAGGCTGAGCAGTACATCACTCGCTATCTCAACAAGTCGCCTATCCCGGAGTCCTAGAACCCAAAGTTCAACCGTACTACGCAAGACCGTCAAAGGCTCAATGACAGAAGTCACGGCTTCAAAGATCTGCTCGGCCTCTGTCCACTGCCCAGCCTGAAGGGTGCGGAGCAGTGGCGTCGAGACCGCGTCCGCCAAAGGCGGAAGATGCGCAGTTCCAACGCCCTCAATGGAGGGACCCTGCTCATGACCGTGTTGCTCTTCCACAACTGCAAACAGTCCAGGGAACTCCTTCTCAAGAGCTTGACAGCAGATTGAAGACACTTGCAAGTGCCTGCGATACTGGATGTTAGTGCAGAAGAGAGTGGCACAAGCCTGACACCGGACTCCTACAGCAAACCTACGTGCGCGAGACCTATAACCGTGAACCTTAGCCGCATGGGCGGACCAAGCGTGGCAATCGTTAAAGGCTACTCGGCACATCAGACACGCATGCTGGGCTTGCGAGCTGTCAACGACTGGCTCGGGCATGCGCTGCCAAACAACACGGAGCATGTCTTGGTACGCTGAGAGCGCACAAATCCGCTGAACATGCCAACCTTCAGCGCGCTTCAGGAGCCCATTCCAGCGGCCCGTGCAGCCCATGAGCTCACACCATGCAGGCCAACACTGAGCAAAAGTCCCGGGGCTACCAGTAGCCGCCGTGGCCTCCAAGAGCCACTGCTCCGCCAGCCCAATCGCTCGGAGAAAGCCCGGCGCCTGTTGGATCAGAGCAAAGACTGCGTCTGGTCCTCCACGAACAAGTTGCGCTGCGAATCGAAGCCGCTCAAGAGCAAGGAAGCCTTCTAGGGACGGAAGGCCTACAGCTGCAAGGATCCTCTCATAGGTCCACTTCTGATCCTCATGCCGTGGAATGCGCAGCATTTGCCTCAACATTCGATAGAAACCAGCTTCCAGGGTGACCCATCCGCGTTTGCAGAGGCACGGCCAACCGCCGCTTCCAGCGAAAAGCGAGGTAAGAACATGCGTCCGAAACAGAGAAACTCGACGAGACAACTCTATCCGAGGGCTGCAGAACACATCTCGCTTACCCTCGTGGAAGCAGGCTCTTGCAGCTTGCAGCTTTGAACGCACCTCAGCAGCCATGCTGCCGTCAAAAGCAAGGCGCGACCCCAAATGTTTGTAGTGCGAGACGGCATGAAGCCACACTCCAGGCCCATTTTCTCGTATAATGGGCAAACGACCTCCGTTGATCGAAAAGACCTGGCGCCGAACGTCTTTCGAGCCCGCACCGACAGGTGCCAGAAGAGCGGCTGTCTTTCGAGGACCCACATTGGCCCGAAGGCCATGTCCGGCAAGGACGTCAATGGAGGCACTAGCCACGCCCCGCACAGCAGCCGGAAGTTGCGACGACTTGTCCTCAACAATGCAGGTTGCCAAGTCGTCTGCATATACGAGGTCTTGGACCTCGACCTGAGTCTGTTGCGCAGCACGGCCGTCATATGGCTGGAAATCGCGGCGTCCGTTCCAGGGAATCAGGGGCTTCCAGCCCTGATGAGAAAAGTCTCCGCGCCTTTGCAGGACGCGAGTGAAGAGCAGCCCGTATAGCACGTCCGCCAGGCTGCTGCCTGGTCGCGTGCCCCTCCTGGTGTGTACAAGCTCAACATCCTGGTTCATAAGGAACCAAGTCCCGGAGTGAAGCTCGTGGGTTAGAGCAGCAAGGAGGGGGCCTGAGTCGGCACCACACAAAACTGGCTCATCTGCAACATGGGCCTGTAACACCTGCAGGTCCTCCGGGGTGAGCGACAGGGATGCGGCGATTTCAAGGACGTTGGCCTGCTCCAGCTTGCCACCCGTGAGCAGCTCGCGAATCACAGAGTAGTAGGCTGAGCTGATATCCGTAAAAAGAATAGCAGACGGGATGGAGCGTCGCCTTGTGTACTCGAGAAAGGCACGAGTACAAACATAACCGAACACGTAGCTCTGGCCCTTGCGACCCCCTATCATTAGATCTGGTGCTCGCTTGTTCCACTCGCACACTGTGATGCCGCGAACTGCCTTGTGGAGCACCTTTTCAAGCACGGACTGAACCAGAATGGCCCTCTGTGACGTCAGTGCGCTCTGGTCGGGCGTGCCAGCCTTCGGGATGCGGTAGAGCGTTCCGCCTTTCATGCCGACCGGTTCTGCGGTATAGGCAAGTGTCTTCAATAGCACTGGGTAAAACACCTCTGCCATTTGAAAAGAGAAGAGCCTGCACAATGCGGGAGGAATCCAGTCCGGACCCCACGCCTTGTTGGGGCAGACAGAGCGGAAGTGCACTGCAAGAGAGGGCAAATCTGGCACCTCGGAGAAGCACAAGACCTCAACAGGATCCGCCTGCGCCTGACCTTGAACCCCGAACTGGACAAGCTCTTCAACAGAGACAGGACGTCCGCCTTCAAGGGCAGCAAAATGCGAACGCCATTCCTGGTTGATCTCGGCCTGCGAAGTGCAGAATCCACCCTCAACTTTGCGGAGTCTAGGGAGAGGGTCGTGTCCAGTACGACGGAAGCGCTTGGGCCTGAGCAGCCTGCGAAGTGCTACATGAACCTCTCCTGCCGGTGCCTGCTGCACCTGATCTGCCAAAGCATCAACATGCAGGCGCTTGTCCCTTCGACACAGGCGTTTGAGGGCTTGTCCGGCATCAGCAAGCCGAGACGCCAGGGCAGAAATACTCAACTGCACTCGACTGGCCCATTCCCCGAAAAAGAGGTCAACAAAGCTTTGGCATCCTTGCCAAGCAAGGAAGGCGCACCTCAGCCGGGCGAGACGAAGCGCAGCAGTCCGGTTCCGCAGGGCATGTCTCAGTCTGGCCACTGCTGCATGCAGAGTACCAGCCTCTGCAGAAAGGAAAGACTTCCGAAGGCGTCGTTGTTCCAAAGGGAATTCCCGAGAAAGCTCGCCGAAGAGGTATTCGACGAGCACAGCCGCGTGATCATTCACGTTGGCCTCCCAATCGATGTGAGGCGCATCTCGCAGGATGCCCCGTATCCTGTCAGCGTTCTGGGGGTCCTTGATGGCAACCGGATCAATGCGACGAGCCTTTTTTGGGGCTCCTTGTTTTTGCACTGGGGTCCACAAAGGCACGAGTTTGCCAGATCCGCCAACTTCCAGGAAGGCCAACGAAGTCACAACGTTGAAGTGCGCATGTTTGCGTCTGCATGTAAGTACCGCCATCCCCTTCCATGCATTGTTCAAATGTGCTGGGTAGCCAGCAGTGTAAACAGCCTAACAGCTCATGAAAGGCAGTGCCCGCAACATCTTCGACATCTGCTTGGTAATCCCCGACAAAGGCGGACACCTCAGACCCTACACGGCAATTGCCATCAACAAGGATGAGCCAGTCGCTGCCATGCAGGCCTGAACGGCACAGACGAAGCGTGTCAGCCCACCAATCGCGCTTGACCTGATCAGCAAAGGCACGGTGGGGGCCATGTCCAACAAGCACATTGATAGAAATTTCGGCAAACTGTAGACGCCCAATCAAGCGACACGGATCCGCATGGCTGACTGTGAAAGAGTGCGAGGGCCAATTGTGGCCACGAGCAATCCACAGCTCGACTCCGTAGCATCTCCGCTCATTGCAACCACTACAGTACCTGGCATAAGAGGGCTGAACGCAGCTGCCAACTGGAGTGCGCGTCTCTTGGATCCCAGCAATGTAAATCTGACATGCCGAGAGGGAGCTCGCGAGAAGCCCAACCCGGCCCGCCGCTCCATAGAGACCGCCGCCGCGGCCCTCATCGCGCGCAGGATCAAGCAGTGATAGCGCATTAAAGGATGCGCATCGACATGCAAAAGCAAAGCTGACCGACGCTGTGTCACCACTTGAAGCACCGAGCGCCCGAGTAAAAGGCCGCATTAATTGATGCTGGGTGAGCCGCGGCGGCTCTTGCTTGGAAGCCCATGAAAGAAGGCCGCCTCGCATCCGAGGCAGGGCAGCAGGGCGGACAGCACTCAAGCACACATGAGGCAACCAACGTGCCTTGGCGGCCTTATCAGCGAGCCAGTCGCAAACATCAAAGACGAAGGGAAGCACACGCCGCCTCCCGGCAGATCCGAGATTAGCCAGCCCGTCCGCTAACTCATTCGCGCAATCTCCAGTGTGCCCCCTCACATGGGCATACGTGGGCGTGTTGCGATCCAGCAACGCAAAGGAGAAATGCAGGCTGCGAGCGGCAAGACACAATGGCGTATCTGGCATCTGAAGGCTGCCTCCGACTCCGTGCAAGGCGGCTTGATTGTCAGCACGGAAAACGACGTTCGCAAACGTAGGATGCTGAAAAGCGACAACTCCAGCCCAGAGCAGACCAGTCACTTCGGCAACAAAGGCACTACAAGCCTCCTGTACCACATCAGTGCAGACCTCGCCGAACAAACACCCGACGAATTGTCCAGGTCCCGACTCACCCACAGCAGCAACACTGAGGACCACAGCCCATCCTGCTGCTCCCGTGCTGGGGCAAAATGAACCATCAGCAGTGAGGATCAAAATCTCGCCTGGCCCTGGCACTCGGCCGAGAGCCCCCTCATTGACCCAATCACAGAACCTCCAAGGCTTGGGAACCCCAGGAGGAACACCACCCAAGCTGCGAGGATCAATCTTATGCTGGAGGACCTGCAAATGCTCAGCACTACAGGGGGACAAGCATTGACCTTCAGTGAGATCGAAGTGCTCTGCAGTTCCGTGTGGAACTTCAGGAGCTGCCGCAACCAACTCATCGAGTCGGATCACGTGAGGGGCAGCAGCAGGCAGGGCAACATGAACAGGATCAGTGGCATCAAGGACACTCAACTCCTCTGTTTCAATAGAAAACCCGTCAAAATTGGCTCCCCTATCGACGGAATGTTCCCACAGTGCCTCAAGCAGGGTGCAAGCTAGGAAGAAAGGATGAGTTGCTGAAGCACTGCATGCTTGTATGCTCTCTTCAAGAAGTGTTGGGCCTACGTCAACATTGAAATCAGCAACCGAAGAAGAATCACTCCAACCACCTGCAAACCCTAGAGATGCCTCTGCTCGTGACAAAATGCAAGGCCGAGGGCTCCACTGCCCTCTGCACTCCTGCAGCGAGAGGGGGTAGGCAGAGCTCGAGGGAAAGGACAGTCGGGTTCAGATGCACGCGCGACAGAAGCACCGGGCAACTGCAGAGTACTGTGCATACGGTCTTCCTTGTTAGGCAATTGCATGCCTGCAACCCCGATCAAACTAGCAGACTCGCAGACTATGACACATAGTAAGAGGCCCTGCAGCATGGTGCTAGGGAGCCTACGACGCTTGGCATGTTGCGTTGGACCCCTCGAAAAGGCAACCCCATGCGCCGAGACCAGAAAAAGCCCAAGCCATTGCAGAAGGAAACAACTACCCGCGATGCAAACGGCAATCCGTGAAAAGCTGTTTCAACCGCATCTGGCTCACAAATAAGGTTGGGGTGCCCTTGTGGCAAGAGAACAGGGGTGAGGCATCGGTGCCCAGTACAATGAGCAGCGCGAGAAGTACCGAGGCTCCACATGATAACTCGATTGCCAAAGAGGGCGTTGCCGATAAGCGCAAATCCAAAGATGGCGACAGCATGACTGCGAGACAATGCGCGCCGACCATGGAGAGCACGACCACCGGTCGTCTGAACGCCAACAGCAGACACAGCAGGGGAGGCACCGTCGTGTTCAGACCCAGCATCTGCATCAGGCGAGTCAAAACCACCAGAACCGGATGACACAGAGGAGGTTGATGACCCAGAGCCGGAACGGCTACTGTCGAAGGCAGCTGGCACGAAGTGCACGGACAGTACCCCGCCATCAGGTACAGCGAGGTGAGCACCAAGATCTGTGTGTACAACCGCACCACCACGCACCTGCACAAGAAAGCCCGGAGGGCAGTGTGCAGAAAACCTCCGGACAAACGGCTCAAGAGGAAAGCCCGGGTGATCGGCAGTGACCCACTCGAAGCCTTGCAACACTGGTCGAATGTCAAGAAAGACCAGGAGTCGCTCAGGAGGAAAGTGTTGAGGGCATCCCAATACTGCAGCGATGACAGTACGATGATATACCCCGCAGAAGCAATGATCCCAGACACGTGGCTGCGCAACACAAACTTTGAGCTCATCAGCAGCAATTTGTGCAAATTCTGCCAGCCTCGTGCGCAGCGGAAAACGTTCCCCTGCCGCCAAGTGAAAAGAGGAAGGCCCGTCGTTGGCCAGGACCCAGAACGCACTGTCAAAATGCCCGGGCAGATCAACCTGAAGGTTCCAACCTTCAGCGGACATGAGCATGTCTGTCAGGTTGGTGGCAACAAGGATTGGGTGCCCCCGCCAAGCGACACAGATGAGGTCCCCAGGCTCAAGGAAGCAAGGCAGACCATCCTCAAGCGCCCAAGGCGAGTCTCGAACATACACAATGATGTTCGTGTGAGGCGCAATGTCAATGGCTGCAAGGATAGAGGCCTTAGTCATGGCAGGAGCAAATGTCGAGCAATGCATGCGTCCATCGTAGTGCTCCCGATCAACAAGCACTGGAACAACTTGCATCGGCCAACAGGGCACAGCGAGAAGCACACCAACCCCGGCTGGGGATAGAGCTCGCGGTCAAAACCGTCTCTAACCTCATTGACAGAGGCAAGTGCTTGCGTAGCAGTTATGGGCACGTGGCCCCGGATAGTCACACGCTGTGGCCAACACTCCTGTGCAAAGACAAGAAAAGGGATGTCAGTGAGGAGCCCGGGCCACTCGAGAACTATTTCTGGATCCGGCAGGAAGACAGGAGCCTCACGCAAGACGTTGGGAGGGGGGCGCTGCAGAGGATCCCGCCCACGCGCAACCCGTGCGTGTATCTGTGCTTCCTCCAACGCGTAGTGAGGAGCAGCTCCTGGTGTCTCGGAGTCAGGAGCACGCGCAACCACAGCTGTTGCCGAAAGGAGAGGCTGCTGAGAAAAGCAAATGGCGGCGAAGGCCTTTGCGAGCCGCGTCCGATGCGGGGATCGACTGCGTACACTGCGAGCGGCTGACGCTTCCGCCCCCGAAGCAATGGAGCGGCTGGCGTGCCAACGCACAGACGAAGGCGAGCCCGGAGAGGCCATCTCACACACAGGCTCAAAAGCCGCTTCACTTTCAGAAGGCAATTGCTGGTCTGGCGAAATCGGAACCCAAGAAACAGTGAGCACGCTGCCCCTCTGAACCTGAAGCCTATCGCCATCCAGGCCTACACCATCGATTTGTGCATGAAAGTCCGGTGGCGCCAGCACAGAGTAGTGCTGAGCAATCTCAGCGTGAGAGCAACGAAAGTCAAAGACCAAGAAAATTTGCCACCCTTGCAAGATTGGCCTGCAGTCGAGAGCAATCGGGAAGTCCCCCGGCCGGAAGGGCGCCGGCGGCACCGGTACACTGGGAAAAGCACCGGAGATCAAAGCAACGCCACGACAACGGTGTCCTTTAACACAAGCATTGTGCACCGCGGGACGCACTACCTGTGCGGTCGTCCAATGAAGGGCAAGACCGTAGGTTTCAGCAATGTCCTCGAGATGGTGACGATCTTGCGCCGGCTGAACCCGGTACAGGCGCGTACCTGCTTCGAGCACTGCACAGATGAAGTTGCCGCGACGACCACCAGGGCCAAGCGGCACCGAGGCTTCTACATTCCATCCGAAGGGAGAAGCCAGCATAGTGGCAAGGTCAGCATTGTGAGGCGCAGGTGTCCCAACCCGAGAGAAAACCACGCAGCCGTGCCTGACAATGTGTAGCAACTCATCGCGATTCTCAACTGCTCTACCAAAAGCCGTGACCTGCCATGTGCCATCATCATCGAGATCGGCAATTTCAAACAGACTGCCCAGCATGAGAACAGGCGCACAAGCTGTCGGAAACAGTCTGCCATCAACTTGACGCATGTCAAGAATGATGATATCTTCACTCACTGTCCAGCCTGGAAGCGCTAGGACCGTTGCCCACTCAACAGAGGGCTGTGGCCACACCGCAACAAAGTGCGGATAGAGAAGAGCAAAGCTGTGAGGCAGCTCCTCCGCAACCGCTGCAAAAAGGTCCTGTTCCGATTCGGGAAAGGTCAGGTCTACCTCAACAGGCTTGCCAACCCAATCAACCGCAAGAACTAGAACCTGAACCGAACCGCCCTGGCTCTGTGCACTGTGCTCGCTGGTTTCAGAATCCGATGCAATGTTAAGCCTGGGCTGTCGGGCAGGACGGTGCACAAAAAGCGCTTGCCCTGAGGCGACTCCAACCTGGAAGAAGGAGGACCCTTGGGAGATGGCCGCGAGCGGACCTCGGGGATGATAGCGGTCAGGCATCAGCAATGCTCCTCCAGTCTCGGAAGGAGAAGCAGTAACAAGAATCGTGTGGAGGCATGCGGCCCCTTCCTCAGAGGCATCGCCGATCTCATGAAGTGAAAAGCGCAGAGCACGATCTAGTGGGATTGCAAGGCGTCTTCCCAGATCCGAGAGGCCAAACCCTTGCGCAGGGACACAAACGACAACCGGCAAAAGGCCAACAGGCCTGAGATCACAGATAAGCCTCCATTCACCGTTATCTTCAGAATCCCCCTCATGTCTCTCGTGTACAACGGCAACAGAGCTGCAAGTCTCACCCCTGAAGGAGAAACCAAACACACAAAGTGAAGCCTCCAACCGAAGTAGATCTGCAGGTGTCCTGAAGCGCTCGGCCACAACACTGAGTACGTCTCGACCAGGAAAGCGCTCAGTGTGAAGAGCATGCCATCTGTGCTGAAACCAGACAGCAGTGCACGAACGACGTGGCGCAGCCGGAACGTCATTGGGCAAGTCCCACATTTCACCAACATTAAAGAGATCACTGATCAGTGCTACCTCCGGAACTGCAATCCCTGCACGAAGCACAGTGATGACATCCCCATGCTGAGGCTCGAGGCAATCTGATCCCGTGCGCTGCCTAAAGCTGGCGCCAACAAAAACAGCAACATCTTCAACCTCACAGTCAAGCTCTTCGGAGAGCTCTTGTAGAAGATCATGAGAAGTGCTGTCAGCTGAAATGCAGTAAGCGAAGTACTGGCCGCCTACCCGAGATAAGTCGACAATCACGGATACCCGCAGAAGTTCGTCCAGGCACGACGAAAATGCGAGGAAAGCAGCCGACCCACTAAAGCGCTGAGGCGAGACCGGCACCAAACGGTTCAACAGCGGTCGAGATTGGGATTCAAAACGCCTCACTTTACTTATGAGCGAAACAAGCCCTTGCCCCCTATTGAGAACCACAGCATATGACCTGGGAATGCAATGCGCGGCATACACAGTGACGCCTAGCCACCTGTCCGGCAGCAAACCTGCCGCAGTGTCGCTATATCGGTTGGCAAGGGGATGAAATCAGCTGGCGGCCGCAGGCCCTCGGGAACAAAAAGACCGAGACGTTGGAGCTCAGAGACAGCACGCGGAATCTCGGTAGGCACAGCCCAAACCTGGTGCGGGAGGCTAGGAACCAAATATGCGCACAGCGTCCTACAAAACCGAAGATAACACCCTCGGGAGGCAGGCCTGCGCGTCAGCTGGCGCCGAGCAGAAGATGGAGGCTCCGGCGTGCGCGCAAAGCTGGGGTGCGTGGGGTGTCCTATCCCAATAAGAACCCTCAACACCTGTGGCTGCGCACCTCGGAAAGGGAGCCGAATAGCTCTGCCAATAATGGTGTTGCGTCCGGGCAGCTGCCGGACAAGGAGCCAGAACACCTGCAGGCTCAACAGGAAGAGGAGAGCTCGTGCGAGCGGGCAGACCACAAAACTGAGAGCGAAAAGCCATTTCAAGCACAACGCTTCAACTTGGTCATGTCCTGGGGTCGGGGAGAACCTTACTCCAAATTGGGCCTCATCTGCATTAGGCGGACACCCCAGCGCCACCGATGTATCACTTAGGCGCCTACGCGGACGAAACCCTATCTGGACCCCAAGAACCGTTGCCACAGTAGACCCACGGGAGGTGGGAAATGCAGGCGGAGGAAAGGTCCAGACGGCACAAATCCCGTGCCCCGGGGCCTTTCGCGAGGATGACTGCACCGAACAACTCCGACAAACCGCACAAACCCCATGCGGATCGAAGCCGGCCGGCACCTGCAAGAGCGAAATCCAAGGGACTAGGTTCAGTGCCAGGGCAGAGCTCTTAGGCTCCGAGAATTGGAGGACTACAACTGTACAAGCCCGTTTCACTGCACTCAGAACTGCCCACAGTGCAGGACCAGGGCAACCATCTACCGCGACGCTTCGGCAACACAAGGATCCTTGACCGAGGGTCGAGAGGCCCCCCAGCCGGATCACAAGGTCGCTTCCGCCAGCGCAGGATGGTGCCCTGATGCCGAGCACTACTCCAGGCCACTCAGACCGTGCCGCTCCTTGGGACCGTTCAGCTCCTCGTCCGAGTCGTCGTTGACAACCGTTGGTCCGGGCCGGACTGCACCCTGCGTGACAGCCACACTTGGCTGTCCACTCTGCACTGCCTTGGCCAGCTCTTGAGCTCGTTTCTCCTCCAGCTTGGCGGCCAAGTTCCGGGTCACCTTCGGGAACTCCAGTCGGCAAGCTTCGCGAGTGCTCTGTCGCCACAACAGGATTCTGTTGAGGGGTAAGGCGAGGTGCAGTCTCGATCATCGTAGGAACCGCAGGTCCCGCCGTGTCCATGCATGGTCCAGCAGGTGGGCGGGGGCTTGGCGACATAGCATTGTAGGCTGCCTGCCGCGCCTGCTGCACAGGCTCCACAGCCGCCTGCGGCACAGTCGCCGAAGGAGCCTCTCCAGTGTGGGCTGCACCCATCGCCTGGAGAAAAGCAATCATATCCGGACTGAGTCTGCGCTCTCCTGACAAAATCGCTGCAGCTTCCGCCTGCGATCCAAAAGCCCGCTTGAGGACTGCTGAAGCATCCTGCTCCTCGCGACGCTCCTGGTGCCAGGTCCTCGTCAAAGTAGCCCACGCATCTTCTGTCGGCTCGGTGGAAGTCTGCTGCTCCTCCCGCAGGTGCAGGGTACGAAGATTCGCCCTTGCCTCTTCTTGAGATTGAAGAGCAGCTTGAAGATCGTCTTGAATCCTGCCAATTTCGCGCTGGTACTTGTCGTACTCCCGCAAGTAGGACTTCCTCAGTGCCTCCAAGTAGGCACCCCATTGTCCCTCGCGCTTGGCTCTCGTCTGAGCCAAGTGACGCACACGTTGCTCGGCCTTCCTCGCCTGATTGAGGCCTTCCTGCATCACGCTGCGAAGTCGATCGTCCGGGTCTTCCATGAAGCTGTCCTCGAGGAAACGCTCTGGGCCACGACCCGGCTTCGGTTTGGCCACCGCCATGCTGTCGTAGGTCGGGAACTTGGCGTCTGGTGCCTTGTCCTTCCCAGCTTTGGGCTGATTGGGAGACCAAGCACCACGCCAATAGTAGCCGTCCCCACGGCCACCCTTGCCAGTCTTGTGATCTCCTTTGCCTCCACGCCATGGCGGACCGCCCATTCGGCGATATAGCGGCTTGGAATGATGTGCCTCAAGCCGCCTGAGGTCCCTGCTCGGCAGGGGACGCGCTGCTTCTTGAGCAGCTTTGACCCGTCTTCGGGCCGCGGAGCGCTTGGAGCGCTGGCGTCGATGCCAGCGAGGACTGCGCCGACCCTTGGCGCAAAGATCGTGCGTCGTCGCACTGGGGCCGTCGATTTTCCTACCAGCTACCGCTCGGCTGGTCGGCGATTCGGGCCCTGGAATGATATTGGCAATTATTCAGGCGTCTATACAGCTCCATGTAAGTATGTATGTATGTATACATACATACATAAACATATACATATACATATATATATATATATATACACAGAGGTATGGGTTTTACAAAGGCTCCTTCGCTTTCCCGCGAGCCAATCCTGGAGGGCAGTCTACGCGTGCAAGATTGGAAAAATTACTGGATTCCTTGATTTTCCTCAACATATGTGTTTCAGTCTTTCGGGTTCCTCATAATATGTTTGTATTACCCCTTAGGGTTCCTGAATATATTCATGATATTCCTCACATTTCACATATGGTTTACTATATACATATACATATATACACCTGTATGTATATATATATATATGTGTGTATATGTATATGTATATATATATATATATATATACATATATATATATATATATATATTTGTTCTATGCTTGCCGTTTTCCTTAGGATCTGGAAATTATATGTTTATACACGATCGTCCATAGCGGGATTTGCACGGCGAGCGTAAGCCAAAGCAATGGGGATCTAAGGGCTTACTTTGGGGGTTGATTCAAGGTTATTGGTTTCTCAGGAAATAGGGATGCCAATGTCATCGTATAAGGTTTGTTCATGTACCCACACTTAGTACTTGTGGCTTAGGGTACTGCGGACTATATAAGTATCATCATCGCTCTTCACTCGGAAGACGTCGGCCCAACCGTGTCTACCCGAAGCCCCGGCCCTCAAATCGCCAATGCTTACGGGTGCGATTTGGAACTGTGCCGGAGAATGCCACAAGGCTCGTTACCACCACAGTTTCCATCGTGCTGGTCACGACAATGGTCGGGGGGCTCAGTAAGGGCTCCAGCCGGCAAAATGTTTCGTGTTTCGGGGTTCGCTTTCTTTCTGATGTAGACCCAAGGGGTCATGATTATTCGGCTCAGGGGCTTATAGGTTTCGGGTTTAGAATGATAGAAGTATCTCGAACCCCTAGCCAGAACCCCAATCTCTAAACTCGAAGTGCCACGAACCGAAGTCACACAAGCTTTACCAGAACCCCCAAGGTGGCAATGATGCACAGCAGATCCGGATAAGCACAAGCCTGTCGAAGAACACGTGCCCACGAGCTACCCCGAAGTTCAGTAAGCATTGCTAGCAACATGGGAAGCCGTTGATACCAATTTTCTGGTAAACGCGTTAGACTTTCTGTCGAGTGCCCAACCCAAACTCTCAGGCAACAGTGCATTTCAGCTTAGGATTTCATGCGTCGGGTCTGTGGTTCACGAAGTACGGAGTTCCCGCCCCCAACCCCAACACCTAATCTTCTAAGCGTATAACCCCGAAACCATAAACCCCGCCCCCGAGCCCCTGGTCATCCTAAGCCGCAAATCCTATACCCCAAAAACCCCAAAGCAAATCCCCAAAGCCTCTTAAAACCCCTAACCACCCTGAACCCGAAAACCCTAAACCCTAGGGCCCTAGACCCACAAACCCTTATAACCCTTAACCCCTAAACCCTATAGATCCCGTCAGGAAACCCTTATAGTACCTTTCAAAGGAACCCTTATAGTACCTTAAGGAGGAACCCTGAACGCCCCAAGCCGGACGACTTTTTTCAGGTCGTAGGCACAGCCATGGAGAAGATCGCGACGGCCCTGGAGGTCATTGAGACCGCTCCCAAGCTTCCTGCAGGGTTTCTTTAGGGGTTTAGGGCGTGTCGGGGTTCAGGGGCTGTAGAAGTTTAGGGGTTTAGGGGTTGATTGTTTGGGGGTTTTGGGTGGAGGGGTATGAGGTTTGTGAGTGCAATCCTGCAGGGTTTCGGGGATTTCGGGGTTTCAGGGGGATTTAGGCTCTAGGAATTTAAGAGCTAGAGGATGTAGGCTCTAGGAGTTTAGGGGTTGAGGGGTTTAGGGTTTTTGGGGTTTTAAAAGGGGGTTTAGGCGTTTAGGCGTTTAGGGGTTGGGAGGTTTAGAGGTTCAGGGAGTGTAGGGGTTGAGGGCTTTGGGGTTTCAAAGTTCAGGGGTTGAGGGGGTTTAGGAATTTACGGGTTTGGGGTTTGACGGGTAGGGTTTAGGAGTTGGAGGTTAAGGCTAAGGGGTTGTTCCAGGAATTCTGGAG